ATCCTATTCCAAAATTATCAGCTATGTAAAAATTACTAATTCATAAAATAATCTATGAGCAAAAAGACCTCAAGCACTCCACATTTTCCACCATAAAACTCAACCGTGTCCCAATAAAAAATAGAAAAATCTGAATCAATAATCGTATATTTTCACCGTCTACTGAACGAATCTGGTTGTAACACCAATTGTATCTCGTTATTCTCTCTCTTTTCATGTGTTTAAATTGGCATCGCCAAAAAAAGTGAAATTTCCATATGTCACGAGAAACATTAAATCCTCTTGAATGTTGATAAAAAAGTGCCAAACATTTCAATTGCACACAAAATTGTTGTTATTGCTGCTGTTACTAGTGTCTTTCTCTTTCTCTCTCTCTTAGTGCTGATTTGGGGAATTTTTTTTATGTGTGTTGCAGCACAAAAAATGTGTGTTGGCAGATGTTTCAAGTTATTTTTTATAGCTCGAACTTCCAAATTAAATTTACAAAAAGTGTGAACATGAAAATAGAGATTTTGTGACTTTTTTGCATAGCAACACCATTCCAATGTTCAGTAATCCAATTGCGGTAATAATGTATGTCAACGAATACTCCAGGTCGATTAAGGACCCGTCCACATTGATCACCAAATGATGCAAGTCCCACAAGCATATTATTGCATACAAGTGGTCCACCGGAATCTAAAACGGAATGTCATCTCTGCATGATAACATCATTCTGTGGTTTTATTATTGAAAATTAGACTTACCCCCCTGACACACGTCAATGATTGCACCTGTTTCGGTTTGACCATTTGCACAAACCATTCCATTGGTTATTATTCCATTATAGGAATTTGAGGAATTGCATGAATGTCTATCGAAAATTGTTACATTTGCTTTCTGTAATTGTGCAGGCATTGAGCCTCTCCAGTTGAGAGCACCCCATCCACTAACTTGACATTGTGTTCCTGTTTCTACTTGATAATCTATCATTTCAATTGGATTGATGTTATCATTGAACTCTATTGGACGTCTAAGCTATAGAAATAATATGTTGCTGAAATTCAATGCATTTTATATCTTTTGGGGTTGAACGGAAAAATCGGGAAACTTTGAGGTTATTGCAAAAAGTTATGATTAATTTTATCGGATTTTCAAGTGTTTCCAAAGAAGATTTTTCTGTCCAATCTCCAAAAAGTTTATTAAGCTCTTACAATCACAATGCCGATATCATGAGCAAAGCTGAATGTCCGAAGATACTCTGGATGAACAATAATTCTCTCAACATATCCGATCACAGTTTCTTGAGTAAATGTAAAGCGATTAAGTGATCCAAAAATAACATAAATATCGAATACTGTCCTGTAGTCATAACCATCCATTAAGCAATGGGCTGCTGTGACGACAGTTTGAGATTTTATTAAAACTCCTCCGCATGTATGACCCCTTCCAAAACGTAAATAATCTCTTACTGACACTCTTATTGAGGCCTGATAAGGAATGTAATTTTGAGCTGCTATTCCATTCACAACTCTTCCTTCGATGTTCTCATATCCATGAGCTGTTTATACATGTTCATGAGAAGTTTATGGTACAAGAATTATGTATTCATAAGGAAATTACTTACATGTTACAAATAATTGAATCAGTATTATAAGCCACAACATGCTTACATTTTATACACAACTTGACTAAACTATACGATGAGAATACATATTTTTTGTCTTATCTTTATCAATAAAAAGATATCAGTAAGTGACGAAATTTTAGCAATTTTATTGATAGCAATATCGTTTCCTATAAAATCTACACTGTGAGTCATGTAGCTTGCAAAAATATTTTTTGGGGAAATTCTTTGATCAACATTGTGTGTATCTAAATTTTATAAACATTTAATTTATTTTATGGCATGTTCATAAAGCAGAAATAATGTGTGAGACTGTAAAATTGCTAGTGCTTTCATTAAAATTTAGAAGTTAAACAAATTCTTTATTGGGTTTTTACTGCTGTGAAATTATTTTGATTAAAACCGTTAAAAATTTGAAGTTTGAAAAAAACCGTTAAAATTTTGAATTTTCAATTGTCGTTATTTTCACAAAAAATGTTGGTCTTTGTAACAGAACGTTGCCAGCCTTCCTCAAATATATTGAGTTACTCCATAAAATAGAATTTGCATTAAAAATTTCAAAAATTTTGTTTACAGAATTTTAATTTTCATTAAAAATACGAAAAACTTTTTGCTCTCTCAAACCAATCACGTTTTGTAGCTGTACATTCAATTTTTCATTTTCCCCTTTTCAAGATTTTGTACAGCAGTAGATGGAAAAAAAGAATTGAGAGGTTTTCAAGTGAAAAGTTTTTTTTGTGACGCTGGTTGCATAAATATTATATTTTCATGAATTTCATCGTATTTTAATTTATCACGTCCGAAAAGACTTGATAAAAAATTGACCTATGTGTCCATCGAATGGATGCTCATTATTCATGTGTGAAATGCTTCCTTTTTGTCATCGTTTAAGCAGAGAAAATCAAGTACGGAAGGAAGGAAGTGTTTAATCCAAATAATCAAAAAAATGGACCTACTTCCTGCAAACTTCTTGTGCCTCCTTCTGTTCATTTTGTGGTACAAGATGGGAAAAAAATTTCAGTCACGTCCAATTTTATGAATCGATGAAATTAAATATGAAAAATAAATGCTTTATTCAATGTGTAATATTGTGAAATTTCATCACGTTTGGATTATGATGAATCGAAAAATACTTCACTTCCTGATCATGCACGAGTTGAATTGCTTTTAGTATTAAAGGATAGCCGTTTTTTACGATTCATCATGAAAAATATTTACGAATTAAAATTTTGCAATGTAAGCAATAAGGAATAATGTTAAGTTTTAGACATAAATTTTTAAACTACCTAATTCTATTCTACAGATTGAAATAAGGAGCTAATCTCAAAGGAACTTTCAAAAAAGTTTGACAATGTTTTGGTGCTCAAGTGCTGCAATTTATTGAGCTGACATTAAATAATCATTTACAAACTACACATGTATGGAAAGGTGCAAGAAGATTTCATTTTATAAGTGGAATAGGTAGACATTGCATGTTAAATCTCAAATTTAGTGTAAAGCACTCAAAGATTCGTTCACTTATGACGTCCGAAATTAATGGTCATTTTTTAAAAATGAACAACTGACCCCCCCCCCCCCCCCCTAGCAGCATAAGTGAACGGCCATAATCATCTAAAGTTCTCAATAAATTGCCCTAGCTGGCACAGATCCAATAGTAACAGGGAAACAGATTTTTGTATTTCCATGGAATCCACCAATCTCACCTTCAATTTCAATTGAGTAACTTATCGTAATGACTTTACAATATCCTTCATTAGAACATATTAGTGTCGTTGGGATTTCTAAAATACTTTCAAAATAATTTGATTCTTTTGCCTTAGCACCCGCAGATACAACTGATAGCATGATGTCACTGTCCATTTTTGTTTTCCTTTCTGGATGTCGATAAGTGTACACAATCAAACGTTTTAAACTCACTCTTGTCTGCTTCACATCAACATTACTTTTATTCACGTAATCAATTTTAATTGGCACACTTTGTCCGAGTGCAAATCCAGTACATGGCGTAGTAACTGTCATAATGAGTGATCCTGATGCGCAATATATACATCGGAATGATTTAATTTCTTCAAATTTAAATGGTAATCTCAATTCTGGACATAAATTCAAGTCATCATAACGAACTACATCAAATGGCACGTGTCCATCTTTAATAAAATGATTGGGGATATCCATCGAACCGATTGCACTGTAAGTAATATTTCCAAGTCTTGTGCTGACTGAAGATGGTAATTTGTGGGGTAATTGACATGAAAAACTGTATCTATGAATTCCAGGCTGAAGTGTTATTGTTGGTCCTGTTTTGTGCCCTAAAAAGTATGTTTCTGCATCCAAGTAATCCTCTCTGCCCCATGAGTTCTCTAAAATTTCAATACTTTCATGATTAATAAGTTCATTGATGGATGTTTCAACTGTTTTTTTTTACCGTTGACGAATTCTACACTTTTGTCATCTTTCGTTCCAACACTTCTTGTCTTGGTTTCTTCCCAGTTGACATCAGCTTTCCCAACAACTGTGACGTAAAAACCTGAACAGAAAACTTGTTAACTATTGTTATCTTATAATTGCGTCATTGGTTTCTTAATGTTAAAAGTTGGGATTAGGGGTTGAATACTAAGAAAATTAGATGTGAAGCTGTGGGACCCAAGAATGAACCTCCCACGACCCGACCCAGATCAAGTTATTTAAAGATATAATTTACATTGTATGTCCTCCACATGATCAAGTAGTAGCTCTACAGTTCCTAAAATAAATCGCATTGTATTATCAATGGAATGTTATCACTTCTGCAGAATAATTCAAAGCAATAAATACCTCGAAGTATATGTCCTGGATAATAAACTAAATTGCCACTTGAATTTGGTTCTAAATATACATTAATGATAGTCATTATTAAACCTGACGACCTTGAGTTTAATTTAATATCTATAAATATCAATTGGACATAAAATAATGCAACTATTGTGTTCTAATCACTAGAAAATACTGAAATTTCACCTCAGCGTCAACAATTTACAGTTTCATTTGTTATCTTCTTTTTTTTTGCGAGTTAATTGATAACAGCACAGGTATTTGAAAATATCATAAACATCAAGTATTTAATTACTCGGAATGAAATGATTGTGTAAAATCGAAAAATAATTATTCTGTAAGTTCCTAAAACTGTCCCGCTAAGAAATTTAAATGATAAGACGCATATCAATGTTTACCTTTAGTCATGAACTTGAATGAAATCTGATAATAATTTTGTGTGTGGGTGGAAACGAAAAATATCAATTAATGATGTACAAAAACATGACATGAGATAAAATAAAATATATTTTATTGTCTCATAGACAACTTGTAGCCGTTAATGTCTAGCTGATGACATCAGGGCTGTTTACAAAAATAGCGACTATGGATGAGGTCTAGCTGGTAAATGTCCAATGGTAACAGGGATATTTATTTTTGGATTAATATGACATCCACCAAGCTCTGCCTCAATGTCAATAGAATAACTAATGTTAATAAGTTTACAAAATTTATCATTTGAACATATCAGATTTGTTGGAATATCCAAAATCGTGTCAACATCTTTTGATGCTCTTCCATTTACTCCCTCAGCAACAACTGACATTATAATATCACTGTCCTTTTTAGTTTCAGTTTTGGGATGATGACAAGTGTACAATATCAAGCGCTTTAAATTCACTGTTGTCTGCTTCACATCCACATTACTTTTATTTAAATAACAAATCTTGATTGGGACACTTTGACCGATGGCTAATCCAGTGCACGGCATAATTACTGTCATAATTAGAGAACCTGTACAGAAAATGAAGCAAAATGATTTGACTTCTTCAAATTTCAAAGGAAGTCTTAATTCTGGATATAAACTTAAATCATCATAACGAACTATGTCGAATGGTGTATGCCCAAAACAGATTTTATAACTGTTCTCATGATCTATATTACTTTCAACATAGTAAGAAATATCTCCAAGTCTTGTACTTAATGAAGAAGGCAAATTGTGAGGTAATTGACATGAAAAGTTAAATCTATAGATTCCGGGCTGAAGTGTAATTAGTGCACTATGGGCCAGAAATGGAAAATTTTTCCAAAAATTATTTCTACAACTTATATGATAGTCCTTATTCTGTCCTACATTTACGTCCTTAAAACTTTGCCTAAGTCGACAGCATGTCCGAGATATGGCACTTCAAAGTTGGTCAGACGACCATTTTCACGTTACATTGAAAATGCTCTCACCAGTCACTGGATGGATGAATCTCCTTCAATTTTTTTTTGGTAATAGCTTTAAATAGTTCCTTCATTTTAAGGTATAAACAATTGCAAAAAACTTTGGAAAATTTTGTGAAAAACTTGATTTTTCTCAAAAACCACGTGTTCGTCATACTTCCGTTTGTGTAGGTCTTCACAAGCACAACCAAAGTTACTAATTTCTTTTTTATATTAAAGATTACATCAAAAGCTATAACTTTTGCATACATGTCGTATAATTTTAACAAAGTTTTGGTAGTGAAAAAAATTTTTTTTATAAAAAAAACACCAATTTTTTGACAAAAATCGCTGTAGTGCTCCAGGGATACCCATGGTAGTGGAATTTTATTTCACATTTAGAAAGCTCTCTGGATATGCTATCAATTAATGCAGTAAAATGAACAAGTGTTCTCTTGGCAAAGAGCACTTTTTTGACTCTGAAAGTCGTATGTCGAGCAAGGTCAAAAAAGAAAAATAATCATAAAAATTTCAGTTTTAAGTAAAATTTAATTTTTTTAAGTTAGATTGATAGATCTTTTTAAAACGCGTCTTTTGAGTGTAAATATGTCATAGTTTTGTCAAGTTTCATGATCAGTTTTTTAAAAAAATAGTTTTTTTCAAAAAAAAACTTGAAAAATAAAGTATTTGACTTTAGAATTTCATAAAATGCATTCTTTTTAACATTTTTTTCACTATTTTGTCTAGTTTTGCTCCTCGTTTTTTCCTAAACATAAATCAATAAGAACTTAACATAATTGAAGCCATTTGGAGGTTAAATTGAGTTAAAAATCGTTTAAAATTTTTGTATTTCTTAAATAGTTCTTTACACAAGTATCTAAGATATAAAGTGTTGCATAGTTTTGAAAAGGTATTAAAATTTCCAATATGTTAACATGAAAATTTTAGGAAAATTTTCAAGTAATATAGTCAATTTGGGTAAAAAACGCATTTTATATATGCTAGTTTTTAATGTTTTTCGTTTTTCTCAGCAAAGACTTTATGAAAAACTCTCAAAGTTTGCACACTTATTTGTTATATAAATGTTAATGACTCGTATAAGTTTTGGAATTTTCTATTGAGTTTTTCATGAGTTCTCCAAATCTGAAATTTTCAATATTAAAAATCCTTTTTTCTCAATAATTCCGATTTTTTATTTATAAATAAATATCTTATTTTGTTTCATTTTACAATATCTTTTCATTGATATGTAACAATCTACGAAAAAAATAAGACTAGCGAGGAATCAATAAAAAAAGTGTCAAAAATTTATGAAAATTCTACGCTATTTTAATTTTTTAGCATTTTCTGGTTAATTTTATTAAGTTTTGTAAGAGTGTTATACCTTTTTGCAAATTTATAGCTCAAGACTTTCATCTGCTTTCATCCATTAAAATTCGTATGAGTTTACGATAAGCACAACTGAAGTTAAATAAGCTTCACGTTGGCGCAACCAAAAATTTTGAATTTTTTAAAATCAAATTATTTAAAAGCTTTAAATTAAATCTTCAGGCTGCTATTAAATACATGAAACATTTATAACAAAACTAAATGAAAAAGTTTAATATTATAGCTCAAATAGCATTAAAATTAATATCTGGTTTTCTTCATATGGAACTGTCTTTTGTCGCCAACGTGAAGCTTATTTAACTTCAGTTGTGCTTATCGTAAACTCATACGAATTTTAGTGGATGAAAGCAGATGAAAGTCTTAAGCTATAAATTTGCAAAAAGGTATAATACTCTTACAAAACTTAATAAAATTAACCAGAAAAGGATAAAAAATTAAAATAGCGTAGAATTTTCATAAATTTTTGACACTTTTTTTATTGATTCCTCGCTAGTCTTATTTTTTTCGTAGATTGTTACATATCAATGAAAAGATATTGTAAAATGAAACAAAATAAGATATTTATTTATAAATAAAAAATCGGAATTATTGAGAAAAAAGGATTTTTAATATTGAAAATTTCAGATTTGGAGAACTCATGAAAAACTCAATAGAAAATTCCAAAACTTATACGAGTCATTAACATTTATATAACAAATAAGTGTGCAAACTTTGAGAGTTTTTCATAAAGTCTTTGCTGAGAAAAACGAAAAACATTAAAAACTAGCATATATAAAATGCGTTTTTTACCCAAATTGACTATATTACTTGAAAATTTTCCTAAAATTTTCATGTTAACATATTGGAAATTTTAATACCTTTTCAAAACTATGCAACACTTTATATCTTAGATACTTGTGTAAAGAACTATTTAAGAAATACAAAAATTTTAAACGATTTTTAACTCAATTTAACCTCCAAATGGCTTCAATTATGTTAAGTTCTTATTGATTTATGTTTAGGAAAAAACGAGGAGCAAAACTAGACAAAATAGTGAAAAAAATGTTAAAAAGAATGCATTTTATGAAATTCTAAAGTCAAATACTTTATTTTTCAAGTTTTTTTTTGAAAAAAACTATTTTTTTAAAAAACTGATCATGAAACTTGACAAAACTATGACATATTTACACTCAAAAGACGCGTTTTAAAAAGATCTATCAATCTAACTTAAAAAAATTAAATTTTACTTAAAACTGAAATTTTTATGATTATTTTTCTTTTTTGACCTTGCTCGACATACGACTTTCAGAGTCAAAAAAGTGCTCTTTGCCAAGAGAACACTTGTTCATTTTACTGCATTAATTGATAGCATATCCAGAGAGCTTTCTAAATGTGAAATAAAATTCCACTACCATGGGTATCCCTGGAGCACTACAGCGATTTTTGTCAAAAAATTGGTGTTTTTTTTATAAAAAAAATTTTTTTCACTACCAAAACTTTGTTAAAATTATACGACATGTATGCAAAAGTTATAGCTTTTGATGTAATCTTTAATATAAAAAAGAAATTAGTAACTTTGGTTGTGCTTGTGAAGACCTACACAAACGGAAGTATGACGAACACGTGGTTTTTGAGAAAAATCAAGTTTTTCACAAAATTTTCCAAAGTTTTTTGCAATTGTTTATACCTTAAAATGAAGGAACTATTTAAAGCTATTACCAAAAAAAAATTGAAGGAGATTCATCCATCCAGTGACTGGTGAGAGCATTTTCAATGTAACGTGAAAATGGTCGTCTGACCAACTTTGAAGTGCCATATCTCGGACACGCTGTCGACTTGGGCAAAGTTTTAAGAACGTAAATGTAGGGCAGAATAAGGACTATCATATAAGCTGTAGAAATAATTTTTGGAAAAATTTTCCATTTCTGGCCCATAGTGTAGTGGTCCTTTTTTGAGTCCCATCAAGTAAGTTTCTTCTTCCACAAAAAATTCTTCTCCCCAGCAATTTACTAGAATAAGAAGATTTCTATGAATAAAGGACATCGAAGTATGTTGAATGTCTGTACCTGTATAACGTTCTATAGTTATTGTGTCACCACTTCTATGACTCGTTGATTCATCTTTACTCCAATTTACTTGTGCTTTTCCAACAACTGTCACAGAGAAACCTGAATGCCATAGATTATATATTTTTATTAAGCATGTGGTTTGGAAAATACAATAAATACGTTACAGTGAATGTTTGCTACATGATCAAGAGGATATTCCACAGTTCCTTAATAAAATCGCAAAGTCAGTTAATTAATAAATATTTTATAGAATATAAAACCTTTTATTAAGTGACCAGGATAATACATAAACGTTCCGTTTGAATTCGGCTCCAAGTATACATTGATATCTCGGACCATCCTTAATAATTTTTATTAAATTACTTGAAATAAAGCAACTAGTTGAGTCTAATCGCTTAAAAATACTAAACATTCACTTTATTTGTCAACAATTTACAGTTTTGTTTGTTACCTTTTTACGATTATATTGATAACAGTATAAGAATGTCGTAAACAGCAACAAAATGAGGTTTCAATCAGTTTTAATCACGTCCTAATCGTCCTAATTTAGAGCTGGATGTGAAAAATTATCTTTTCAAAAAACGCTTTATTATGAAATTTTTATAATTTTATGGATGTAAGGATATTAATGCTGTACTATATAAATCTTTTAACAACTCTATCGTGTCTGTATTCGATAAAAATTAATAAATTGTCAAATTTCCGTTAAAAGCAAGTTTCAGTTAAAATTTGAAATTTCCCGCTAAAATTTGAAATTGTTGTTGATCGTTTTTTGAATGTTTTCAAAACAACAAAAAATTCATTGCGACAGTCAAAAAATATATTTTTATTTATATAAATATCTTAATTTACAAAGTGTCTTGTTGCGAATTTTACAAATAAGACAAGAATAGTGCTCAAAGTGATCAAGCTGTCAAGATTGCATAGCAATTAAGGATGGAAAGCTTCTCAGAAATTCTTAATAATGATAATTCAATGATTTTGGCTATATCAACACAAGCGTTGCTTGAAAACAATGGATTGGGTAAGTTGATCCTCATTAATTATAGCAATACCTCCTTTTCTAATCATTATTCTTGCCAATTCTAGATGATGAAAAATTTATTGTGAATTCAATAAAGAAAAGACCTCTGGATGACAAATTTAAGACTCCAGAAAATACAGCAAAACGACAGAGAAGGATCAGAAACACTCCAAAATCTATCAAGAAATGCAGTAGTGCTGAAAATTATTTTCTTGAGGAAGATGATGAGATTCCAAACTTGACACAGCAATTAATGAGTATATTAGATAATCATAGCGAAGGATCACTGACTCAATCGACAGATTGCATTAATGAGCTTGTAGGAAGTGATCATTTTAATATTATAGAGAATCCAATAACTTTATCTCAGTATGTCTGTGAGAAATCATCAAATGCTACCGAAATTTCAACTTCAGAAATATCCAGTGCTAAAAAGAAGAAACGATCGAGTATGACAATCAAGCAAATCAATGCTTATGGACCATTTTTCGGTCTCTCTCATAGACAAAAAGACTTTTTATTGCGCTTAAAAGGAATTCCGAGCCTTTATGATTGGCAAGAAGAATGCTTAAATCTCAAGTCAATAGCCGATAGACGAAATCTTATTTATGCGCTTCCGACAAGTGGTGGCAAGACCTTAGTAGCTGAAATATTAATGCTCAGGGAAGTTATATTAAGAAAGATGAATGTCATTTTTGTTCTACCTTATGTTTCGATTGTCCAAGAGAAAGTACAAGACTTGATGCCATTAGCTGTTGAATTTGATTTTCTTGTTGAGGAATATTGTTCTGGAAAAGGATCGATTCCGCCAGCAAAACGTAGAAATAAAAGTTCAATCTATATCTGTACAATGGAAAAAGCTAATATCCTACTTGATAGTTTAATAGAATCGAAGAGAATTAAGGAACTAAGCATGGTTGTTGTTGATGAATTACATATGGTTGGAGATCCTCAACGTGGTCATGTCTTGGAATCATTTTTAGCCAAATCAAATTTCGTTGATGGTAGTCAAATTCAAGTCATTGGAATGTCAGCAACAATAGCTAATTTACATGAAATCGCAAGCTTCTTAAATGCAGATATTTACACAAGAAATTTCCGTCCAGTTGAACTCAAAGAATATGTCAAAATTGGAAGTGACTTAATGTATATTGATCCAAATCCATCGTCTATCTCAGAAACATTTAAAGTTACTCGATCTCATATTGGAACTGAATGTCCTGATAAATTATCCAAAAGAGATCCAGACAGTATTGGCGTACTAGTGCTTGAAGTTGCGCTTAAGTCATCATGCTTAATTTTTTGTTCAACCAAAAAAGGTTGTGAAAATGTCGCAAAGCTTCTAATCGATATTCTGCCTAAAGAAATGAGGACAGTCAAGACAAATGAGAAGAAAAATTTAATTGCGGCTATAAGAAATGATTCGAATGGAAGTATTTGTCCACTTTTACTACAAACAATTCCGTTTGGAATAGCTTATCATCATTCAGGTACTTTATTCTTTAGAATTGTTGTTTAATCCAATTATTATAGGCTTATTATTATTATTACAGGCTTAACAAATGACGAACGGAGGCACATAGAAGAAGCATTTCGTCTGCAAATAATCACAGTTATTTGTTGCACATCAACATTAGCAGCAGGAGTTAATTTACCAGCTAGTCGTGTAATTATTCGATCGCCTTATGTTGGTCCACACTTTCTCACATTAAGTCGATATAAACAGATGATTGGACGTGCTGGAAGAGCTGGGAAGGCAGAAACTGGAGAAAGTATTCTCATTTGTGATCAAAAAGACTACCAGAAACTAGTCAATCTTTTAACATCAAAAATGGACAGCACGACAAGTGCTTTTATTAGCAATAAATTTTTATTTCGTTCATTGGCGTTGGATTTAATTGGAACTGGACTTTGTAAATCTTATGAAGATCTAATGGAATTTACAAAATATTTATTATGTCACGTTCAGCAAGAACAATTTGATGACAAATTGAGTGATGTAATAGCTAAAAGTGTCGAAGAACTTCTCGTAGAAGGTGCAATTATCCATAATTTCAAGTCACTTGGATATCAAAAGCCAATCGCTAAATTCAAGCTGAACAATGAGGATGTCTATTTATTTCCTGGGGACGAATTAAGCGTCAGTAAACTTGGAAAAGCAGCTGTAAATTCTGGAATGTCATTGGAAGAAGCTCGAAAAGTGGAAATGGATCTTAAAAAAGCCCATGAATGCTTAGTGCTGACGGAATGTCTGCATTTATTATTTATAGTTGCACCAAATGAGGCAGTGGAATCAAGTTTTTTGGATTATAAGGTTTACAATGAAAGTTTTATGAAACTCTCTGCACCATTAATGCGTACAGCAAATGTTATTGGAATAACTGAAAAAACAGCCATGAAAATGGTCATCAATCCAAATTTTAATGAAAAGGATCTAGCTTTACTAAAAAGATTTTATATTGCATTAATATTGAATGAATTATGGAACGGAAGTGATGTTTTTACGGTATCAAGAATGTTTAAAGTCAATCGAGGAATTGTCCATAAATTGATGCAGTCAGCAGCGTCGCAAGCATACAGTATATTTAAATTTTGTGAGGTTTTTGATGAATATTGGGTATTTAAAGAAATTCTTGAGAAATTTTCTAAGCGATTGTCTCATTGCTGTTCTTCTGAACTTTTACCATTAATGGAACTTCCTGGAATCAAGATCGGACGTGCTAAACTCATGTATAAAGAAGGCATTCGGACAGTTTGTGACGTTGCAGCATTAACTCCTGAAGATCTCGTAAAGTCTGTTAAAACAATAAGTTTGAGGCAAGCAAGACAGGTTGTTAGAGCAGCTAAGCATGTTGTTGTCGAGGAACTTGATAATATTAAAGGAAAAATGATTGAAATGATGGAACTGACTAAAACTAAGAAATGAAATTGTATATACCATTAAAATAATAAATGTTTTCATTATAAATGCCAACTTTATTGCCTTTTTCAGAATTTTAAGATCATCGTCACTTGATATTTCTTTTATTGATGATATTAAGGCAAAAATGTGTAAAGTTGTGTCATTAAAATAATGACAAAGTTGGAATCTAAAATCAATTTGCTCAAAATATTCGCGACAAGATTCGTATCTGGTTACAAAGTCTTAAAGCAGATCCATAAAATCTAATTTGGAATTTTATTGCTTACTTTACATTCATTAGTTAAGTAAATGCCGGGCAAGCATTTTAAATCGGACGAAACCAAAATATTTATTTCAGGAAGTTGTTACTTATTGCGTGGATGAACATCTCTAATATAACAAAAAATCATTACAAAATGAGCATCGATTGATAAGACAGCATGAAGAGCATTTATCATTAAGAAACAGAGACTCTGTTGCATGAAAGTAATATGATACGACATGCATCTTTATCAGAAGAGAGAATTTCTCTTCCAGTCTATGACAATTTTTTTTGACGCATCTATTTCAGTCGGAATTAACAAGACGTGTAGACATGAATCTTAAATTAGGCATAATTTTAATAATTATTTCAAGTTCCGTGGCATTTATTCCTTATCCATTCTTAACAAATAAGCTTTTGGAATCATTTTTAAATGACATAAAGGTTGATCAAATAGATTTGGATAATTTTACAATTGGTTCAGAATGTCATCGGAAGTGTGTTGCAAATGACCGACGAATATGTCATTTTTACATGACAATCAAGGCATTCCAGATAATGGGAGGGTATGTAACTGTATGATGATATTTAATTATTTGTTGTGTAATTTGAATCTTTATAATAGAGCATGCCAAAACTGTACAAACGGTGACTTATCACATTGCTTTCATTCCAAATGTATAATGGCTGATGGTATAGGCCGTGGTTTTTTGAGTGTGAATCACGAACTGCCTGCACCTGCTATTCATGTTTGTAAAGATGATGTGATTATGGTAGATTTGACTAATGATGCAGAAGGGACAGCAACAAGTATTCATTGGCATGGCATGAGACATATTTTGGGCACTCAATACTTTGATGGAACTCCTTATCTTACTCAGGTTTGTAATTGAAGCTGTAAATTTGACATTGACATATTAAACTTGATTATTTCTAGTGCCCGATTCCATATGGCAATAAATTTAGGTATGCATTTACAGCAGATGATGAAGGAACTCATTTTTATCATAGTCATAGTGGACATCAAAAAGCAAATGGAATTTTCGGTGCTCTTGTTGTGCGAGCACCTGATAACACAAATCCAAATAGACATTTGTATGACTATGACCTACCCGAACATATAATAATCGTATCAGACTGGATGCATCATCTCGCTGAAGATGATTTCCCCGGAATTGTGTCACGTTCACAACTTACACAAAGTATACTAATTAATGGACATGGAAGGTTCTTCAATGTATAAATATTAATTTTATTAATGTGGAATCAGTAATCATAATTGAATATCCCACAGCAAACATCGAAAACATATCAATTGGCACCGCTCACAATTTATCACGTAGAACCAAACAAAAAGTATCGATTTCGATTCATTAATTCTGGCTTCAATGTTTGTCCCTTCCTGCTGCAAGTTGAACATCATGAAATGTCTATTATTGCAACAGAATTAAGCTATGTTGAGCCATTTACTATTGATACTCTATATTCACTGACTGGTGAGAGGTTTGACTTTGTTATAAATGCGAATAAAACTCCAGGAGACTATTGGATTAGACCTCAAACTATGCTGCCTTGTCGGATCATAACTGAAGGTTTTGCTGTACTGAGATATGGAAACAAATCAGGTAGCAGTGTAGAGTTTGTTGACAAAGATCCACCGAGAGAATCAAAAGTGTTTTTGAAACAGAAAATTTTCAATTCACCTAAACCAAAAGTCAAGGACATCCCGTTTCTAAAACTCAATGCTTACGAGTATGATGACAGCATTATTAAAGGTGAACCTGACCATAAGTATTATTTATTCCTCGATTCACCAACATTTAGTGACGATGCTTTATACTCAAATAAAACACATTATCGAATGAGCTGTAAGTTTATCAATTAAAAAGCGACATCCATGTACACTTATTAATTAAACTCTAATACTTAACCAGATGAAACAACAAAGGTTAATTTTAATAACATTGGCACATTTAATAATATCAGCTTGCTTTATCCTTCATTTCCTTTACTCACACAACCTGACATGATTGATGAGACAATGTTCTGTAATGAGAACAGTACAGTAGGAAAATTCTGCACAGATAATGGATTTGGAAATGTGACAGCATGCAGATGTATACATCGACTTAAAGTTGACCTTAATTCAATTGTTGAATTCATTGTTGTAAATGTTGATGACCAAATACCTCATCCCATCCATTTACATGGTCATAAATTTCATATTGTTGATATGGGAGTCTATGATAAAAAGCCAATTCCTGGTTGGGTTAAAAACGGTGGCATTCCAAATGAAACACATAGTAGACCACCATATAAAGACACATGCATACTTCCATATCCTGGATATGTTCGACTACGATTTCGTGCTGATAATCCCGGATTTTGGTTGTTCCACTGTCACTTTGATTGGCATTTAGAAACTGTAAGTTGGATATGCTTAATTTCATTGCAAGTAATGCTAATATTTTGATTTTAGGGAATGTCATTGATTGTACAAGTCGGAGAAATCAATCAGATGGTAAAGCCACCAAAGGACTTTCCTAAATGCTCAAATTATCAAGTCAACAAAATTAATGGATGATTAAATCTTTATTGATATTTTATTTGATAAGTTCTGATAAATAAAAGTGTATAAAAGGAATCTTAATTCTACTGCCTTTGTTTGTCTATCCTCTGAATTTTGGAATATTTGGTAAAACCAAATTGTTTGGAGATTCAGTGACATAGTTAACCAATGCTTGATTCATTAAACTATTGGTGATGTCAATCAAAATTTCAGCACAACTAAATGGATATGGAAGTGATTTGCGATTGCCATTAACATAAGATTTGACTGCAGATCCATCAGCATTTAGGGCTGCACCTACATATTTGGCTACTAAGTCTGGAATGCAATCAATGATTGATGTAAATGATTCAAGGAACAAATCACTCAGATTTGTGGATGTGAAAAGAGCAGTTGCAGCTATAATGGAAATGATATTAAAATGAATAAACTTAACTGAAAAATAAGTAAGAAGTAAATCTTACAAGTTACAAAGAATCCTTTCATGTTCAATAAGTCTACCAATTGTACAACATAGCCTGTAAGTGCTGTGTATGTAGTATTACATGTCGAAGTGTCACCTATAGAAATATTAATTGTTTTTAAGAACAGCTGTAAAAATTATTTTACGGGTTTAGGAGACTTACTTGTAGAATTGATTGCAAAGTTTCCATACCCAGGAATTACATTATTGACCAAAAATGCAATTTCATTCTTCATGTAGATCAAATCAGTTTCAACACAATCTAAAGGCGCTGGAAGTGGGTTAACAGTTTCTCCATTTAAAATCGCATAAACTATTTCAGGATCGACACCAGATAAAAAGCTTGTTGCATTAGCGGCAAACATAATCATTACATCCAATTCACAAATGAGATCAGCAATGAAGAATGGAGTCAGCACAGGATTTTCAACAGAAATGTCTTAGAAAAGAGGAAATATTAAATTAACATTTGTTAGGGATCATTCAAGCACTCGCTTACTTATAGTATTAAAACGAAGTTGATCAATGTATTGGAACCACTTGATCTTAAAAGCCCTAAAATCACTATAGAATGGTTCACATCTTGATGGTATACTCGGGTTAGCAATACTGTTGTTGATATTATTATATGTAGAGTTAATGCTTTCGATTTGTGATATAAGTATACCTCTGACACAGCTTATCGGTGCTGGAAGAGGAGTTGATTGATTTGCAATGAAAGCATCAACGATAGTTGAGTTAACATTGTAAAATTCAACATAACTATCTGCCGTGATCTTGAAAGTACATATTTTTGATGAATCAATAAGGTTCAAGAATAAGCTTGACAATCCAACGCTTGCAAAAGCGGCTGAAGCAACTGCAAAATATTAATAATCGTTATTTACTTCCAATTCAATTATTTCTTATTCCTTACTTGTTGCAACATTAATTCCACTAGTTACAATTGTAGCAGCATTAGCAAAGTATTGACTTTGTATTTGTACAACAGTTGGACATGGAGTGCTTTCGTTGACTAAAAATTAAGTTCAAGTTTAAGATTTGAAATTCATCAAATAAGTTTGAAGTACTTACTTGGAGAACGAATCACATGTGTTTTCATTTCAGGAATAACATTTTCAGTAAGGTTTTGGACATACGTGTTGAATGACAATAATTCAAATCGAATACAATCAAGTGGAGATACAAATGGTGGATTGATGGTTCCATTAAAAATCCCAAAGATATAATCAGGACTTATTCCTGATAGCTGACTTGTTCCCATAACCATTGTTTGGATACTTACATCAAGATTACATTCCAAATTTCCAATGTAGCTGTTTCCAACGTATGGATATGAATGCACCGTGCCTATACACCGTGGAAGATAATTTTAAAAGGTATCCGAAACTAGACATATTATAAATCTCCTCACTGTTCACAAAAATCAATGTTTCATTTAATAAGTACTGAGAAGCCTGAAGCAAGACTAAGTAATTAGCATGTAGAGCCCCGCAATCTGTATAACCACCACCTAGTGCTCTGCCTGATAATCCTAGAAGTATGAAACTTATTAAGAACTTCATTTTTAACTCTTAAACTTTCTTTTTTGACAAACTGAATATTTCTGATACTTTTTGAGGAAATTCCTTCCGATTTTATACCAAAATGCAACCAACAAAATTCCTGAAACAAGCATAAAAATGGTCATAAATGCTTAACTTTTTGAAAATTTTCTGAATTTTGAAAACTCACCCGATAAAAAAGTCACGAAAAAATGAGAATATTGACAAAGAACTTAAGTCACAAAGTATCAGTCCATTATCAAAAATAAAGAAGCCGTGAAGTCGCGTGCTGATTTTATTACTTGAAAGTTTGTTTTTGCTGATTTTATTTGCCGCTTCTCGTGACTAATAAATATTGAATCTAAAAATGCTCTTAAATTTAAAATAAAGAGAAGCAGTCATCAAACGTGATCTGCTTACGTAGTTCATATATATGAATAATAAAATGCTTGCATAGCTACTCAATAAAAAGGCTGAGACGAATAATTTGATAATCATAAGAGATGATTCTCTTCTCCCATCGGTAATTAGACTCTTATTTGCAATCATTTCAGTAATAATTATCAAGTCGTGAAGTCATGAACATTAAATTAATCATCATACTAATTATTTACACAAGTTATGCGAAAGCATTTATTCCTTATCCATTTCTAACGAATAATTTATTAAAATCATTTCTGGATGTTGTAAAAACCGAAAATGATTTAATAGATCTTGAAAACTTAACATTAGGAACAGAGTGCCATCGAAAGTGTGTTCTAAATGACCGACGAATATGTTATTTTAAATTTGCTCTCAAGGCATACCAGATAATGGGCGGGTAAGTATGTAACTTTATGTTTTATTTACTGTATTCCTTATCATTTTATTACGTATGATTGACAGAGCATGCCAAAACTGTACAGACGGTGACTTATCGCATTGCTTTCATTCAAAATGTATCATGGCTGATGGAACAAAACGCAGCTTTTTAAGCATAAATTACGAGCTGCCTGCACCTGCTATTCATGTTTGTAAAGATGATGTGATTATGGTAGATTTGACTAATGATGCAGAAGGAACAGCAACTAGCATTCATTGGCATGGCATGAGACATATTTTGGGCACTCAATACTTCGATGGAACTCCTTATCTTACTCAGGTTTGTAATTGAAGCTGTAAATTTGACATTGACATATTAAACTTGATTATTTCTAGTGCCCGATTCCATATGGTAATAAATTTAGGTACGCATTTATAGCTGATGATGAAGGAACTCATTTTTATCATAGTCATAGTGGACATCAAAAAGCAAATGGAATTTTTGGTGCTCTTGTTGTGCGAGCACCTGATAACACAAATCCAAATAGACATTTGTATGACTATGATCTACCCGAACATATAATAATCGTATCAGACTGGATGCATCATCTCGCCGAAGATGATTTTCCTGGAATGATTTCACGCTCGCTTCTCACAGAAAGCATCCTAATTAATGGACATGGAAGATATTTTAATGTAGGAAAGCTTGCTTATTGAGTTAATCATAACATAAAATAAATTAAATTCAATTCCAGAGATCGTCACAAACACATCAATTGGCACCGCTCACAATTTATCACGTAGAACCAAACAAAAAGTATCGATTTCGATTCATTAATTCTGGCTTCAATGTGTGTCCCTTCCTGCTGCAAGTTGAGCATCATGAAATGTCAATTATTGCAACAGAAATAAGCTATGTTGAGCCATTTACCATGGATGCCCTATATTCACTGACTGGTGAGAGGTTTGACTTTGTTATAAATGCAAATAAAACCCCAGGAGACTATTGGGTTAGAGCACAAACTATGTTTCCATGTAGAACAGTGATAGAGGGATTTGCTGTGCTGAGATATGGAAACACATCAGGCAGCAGTGTAGAGTTTGTTGACAAAGATCCTCCAGTACAATCGACGGAATTTGAAGCAAAGAAAATTTTCAATTCTCCCAAACCAAAAGTCAAGGATATTCCATTCTTAGCATTAAAAGCTCTTGAACATGATGACAGTATAATTAAATTCGAGCCTGACCATAAATTTTATTTATTCCTCGATTCACCAACAATTAGTGATGATGTTCTGTACACGAATGGAACCAATTATCGGATGAGTTGTAAGTTGAAAATTTAATTACAGTGTATACAAATGGAAATCCAATTAATATGGATTAAAACTCAGTTTAGTGACTACTCGAAAAATATTCTCAACTCATTGATCACTTCCACTCACATTTCGACTCACTTAATGAATTTTAACTCTAATTTTCATAATAATCTGTTCTAGTTGAGACGACGAAAGCAAATTTTAACAGCATTGGCACATTTAATAATATCAGCTTGCTTTATCCTTCATTTCCTTTACTCACACAACCTGACATGATTGATGAGACAATGTTCTGTAATGAGAACAGTACAGTAGGAAAATTCTGCACAGATAATGGATTTGGAAATGTGACAGCATGCAGATGTATACATCGACTTAAAGTTGACCTTAATTCAATTGTTGAATTCATTGTTGTAAATGTTGACGACCAAATACCTCATCCCATCCATTTACATGGCCATAAATTTCATATTGTTGATATGGGAGTCTATGATAAAAAGCCAATTCCTGGTTGGGTTAAAAACGGCGGCATTCCAAATGAAACACATAGTAGACCACCATATAAAGACACATGCATACTTCCATATCCTGGATATGTTCGACTACGATTTCGTGCTGATAATCCCGGATTTTGGTTGTTCCACTGTCACTTTGATTGGCATTTAGAAACTGTAAGTTGGATATGCTTAATTTCATTGCAAGTAATGCTAATATTTTGATTTTAGGGAATGTCATTGATTGTACAAGTCGGAGAAATCAATCAGATGGTAAAGCCACCAAAGGACTTTCCTAAATGCTCAAATTATCAAGTCAACAAAATTAATGGATGATTAAATCTTTATTGATATTTTATTTGATAAGTTCTGATTAATAAAAATGTATAAAAGGAATCTTAATTCTACTGCCTTTGTTTGTCTATCCTCTGAATTTTGGAATATTTGGTAACACCAAATTGTTTGGAGATTCAGTGACATAGTTAACCAATGCTTGATTCATTAAACTATTAGTGATGTCAATCAAAATTTCAGCACAACTAAATGGATATGGAAGTGATTTGCGATTGCCATTAACATAAGATTTGACTGCAGATCCATCGGCATTAAGGGCTGCACCAACGTATTTTCCTACTAAGTCAGGAATGCAATCAAGGATTGATGTGAATGACTCCAGGAACAAATCACCAAAATTTGTGGATGTGAAAAGAGCAGTTGCAGCTAAAATGAGGATTTAGCTAAAGTTTGTTCATAGAGAAAATTAATAATTGAAGCTTACAAGTTACAAAGAATCCTTTTTTGTTCAATAAGTCAACCAATTGTACAACATAGCCTGTAAGTGCTGTGTATGTGGTGTTACATGTGGAAGTGTTACCTGTAAGTTGAAATATTTTCAATAAGAATGACCTAGAAAAAGTTTCAAAGTTATCGAGACTTACTGGGGGAAATGCTGGCAATATTTTGGAACCCAGGAATTACATTATTGACCAAATGTGTGATTTGATTGCTCATGAAAGTTAAATCATTAGCAATGCAATCTAAAGGCGCTGGAAGTGGATTAACAATATCTCCCTTAAGAATCGAATAGATTATGTCAGAATCAATTCCGGACAAATAGCTTGTAGCATTTGCTGCAAACGTAAAAATGATATCCAATTCACAAAGAAGATCAGCCACGAAGAATGGAGCCAATACTGGATTTTCAATTATAATATCTAGATGAAAAGAAATTTAAGTTGACATGTCTGAAATATTTAAAGTTCTTCTATTACTTATTGTGTTAAATCGAAGCTGATCTACATATTGGAACCAAATATCCTTAAATGCCTTAAAGTCACTGTAGAATGGTTCACAGCTTGATGGTACACTCGTATTATTAAGGCTGTTATTAATGTTTGCGATATTGTAATCAAATCCTTGAATTAAGGACGTGACTATACTTTTAGTGCAATTTAATGGAGGTGGAACAGAAATTGTTTGATTTTGTATAAATGCACTAATGATAGCTGGGTCCATATTGTAAAATTCAGCAAAATTGTCAATTACGAGGTTCGATCCACACGATTGACGGAATAAATTATTTTGGTCAATATATAAGCTTGACAATCCAATACTTGCAAAAACAGATGAAGCAGCTGCAAAGAATTCGAATGTAATTTAACTTATCCAAATATCATTTTAAATTGCTTACTTATTGCTGCATTTACTTCTATGCTGCTTATTAGATTAGCATTAACCAAGTTTTGACTTTGCATTTGGACCACTATGGGACATGGCGTGGTCTCGTTAACTTAAAAGTCAAAGAAAAATTGAATTCAAAAATTCGGATTTTATGGATTTTATAAAAATAAATGAACTCACTTGGAGATGGAATAACTTGAGTTTCAAGATTCGGAACTACATTTTCAGTTAAGTTTTTAACAAATAAGTTGAATGACAATAATTCATCTTCAATACAGCTTAATGGATGTACGAATGGGGGACTTATTAATCCATCGAAAATTCCTCGAATATAATCAGAACTTATTCCACTAAATTGACTTGTTCCTAACGCCATCGTATTAATCGTTAGATCCAGATTGCAAATGAAATAGTCAAGAAAGCTGTTTCCAATGTATAAATCCACAGCAACTAGGAATTAAAGTTTCTTAATATAATCCTAATTGTATTCCTTAATTCCACTTACTGTTCACAGTTTTTAATGACTCATCAAGTAAATACTCGCAAGCTTGAAGTAAAACTAAATAATTAGCTTGCAAAGAGCCACAATTTGTATCTCCACCACCAAGTGTAGTTCCTGAAAATACTAAGACTATGAAAGTTATTATAAACTTCATTTTAATTTAAACTTTATATGCTGAGAAACTGAATATGTCTGATATATTTTGTGAAAACATCTTCAACTTTTATACCAGAATTGCAACTTCAAAGTTCCCGAAAAACAGATTAAAAGCCTCATTAAAATCGGGACTTATTAAAGTAATTTTAAGTATTTTCGTGAATTTTTGTTTGTGGATATGTAGGATCACGATTTCGTGCTAGGTTTTGACTTTTCAACTGCCATTTTGATTGGCATTTATTATTACCTAATAGTTTCGTTGATTCTGTAAGTTTGAACCAAGCAAAACAAAACCTTAATTTTAAAGAACTAAATTCAATATTAAAGTAATTCAAATAGAATTTTTGAGTTCTGCTGCAGCAGTTCAGTAAATTATGGTAGCATTTATTCTCATCTTGCATAATTCACATCCATATGAGAATTTTCGCATTTATGTGAGAAAGCTGTTGGTTGTCACATTACCGCACAACAGCAACACCGACATTGCAGAAGTAGAAAGAAGCATAAGCAGTAAACAGCAGCAGTAGAATGAGAATGAAATGCATTCAACCGAGAACATAATTCATCATTTTAATCCACAATCGTGTGTGGGATTTCAAGTGCAGAACTATCACATTGGTGATTAATGTTGATTCATTTTGTGCACGGAGAATTTCTCGCTGCGCTGCTTTAATTCCAAAAATTAATTTCTTTGAGTATCAAAATTACTTTTTTTTTATTTCTTGTAGAACTGACGAAAGTAATGAATTTATGAATTCATAAATTTTATGGATATGAGTGTGAAATATAGACAGGATGTGGCAATGGCGGCAAATTATTAATGGTGCAAATTATTGCAATACTGCCTACAAGTCATGTCCCCACTTTTCAAACAGAAACATGACTGTAACATGGAAAACAAAATTGAACTGCAAATGGCACTGGACATGATCATTCTATTGCTGTTGAATCAGATGCAAAATAATTAATAATTTACATAATTTTGATGGCAATTCCAACACAACTAATCAGTTTTCCAATAAAAGACAAAGAAAATAAAATTCTAAATTTAATTTCAGGAACTGCTTTTAACATATTTAATTGTCACATCTGCTCATTCGGTTACTTCCTCACTTGTGTTTGCATTTAAATAGAATCGGATTCTTTTTGCATAACAAGCAAGTGAGCATACATAAAACACTTTCGCATTAATTAACTTAAAACCTCCAACATAAATCTCTTCTTTTAACAGCATCAACATGCATCAGGAATGAAATGAAACGGGAATGGGAGGTGGACAAAGAGCTTAGCTTTGTTGTTTTTTATTCCACACTTTTTTTTTTGTTGTCTCTGAATGTTCATTTATCTAGCCACTATAGCTGTATAGGATTGAATGCAGTTCGTGTGTGCTCATTGAATGAAATGGCAATGAAAGCAAGAGCAAGCAGGCAGGCAAGTAAGAGGGAAAGAGGATTTATGAAAAACAATAAAAAATGTCATTTATTTACTCGCCATCGTAGTTCCGGTGTTAAATTTCAATACGCTATGTGCCATCATCATCATCATCATCCCCAATGTGATATTTAAATACACACTATGTGATAAATATTGTATGTATGTCCATACAGAAAGAGCATAAAAAATAAACTTTTTTTCTCCCTTTCCTGTTTGTTCATTGTTCCTTTAATTGCCATTTATGGTGAGATTTTTCCCCAATTCCTGCTCATCCTGATCCTGGCTGCATTTATTTTAAATCCTTACCAAGCTTTTGTTTCAATTTCTTTAATGAATTCGTCAAGTTCCTCTGAAATAATTTTGAGCTTGAAACTTTATAAAGTCATATGAATGTTCTTGGTTTCCATAACATATATGTGCTTAGAATATGCAAAACCAAATGAAGAAAGTAATAATAAAACAGCACAGAACTACACATTTTTTTTGGGGGTAGAAAGAGAAGGAAAATAAGTGGAAATGCTTTTCCATTAACATTTTTTCACGTTTCACAGCCATAAATTTAAAAATTCATTCTCTTGCATGCTTTCTATCCGTTCATTCCTTTTCTATGTACTGTATGGTTTGGCTTCAACTTCTATACTGTTGCTCTACAAAATATAATGGTTGTGATGATGATGCTGAAGCTTTTCTGATGTTTGACTATTTAATTTATGAATCATACTGGAAACAAAAACAAAAAACAAACAGCATAAAGACAGGAATGAATTGCTCGCTAAAGACGCGAATTTTTGCAGTTTTTGTTGACATTTCAATTTATTTATGTCAATTTGAATTATCTTATCATGTTTTCTCCTCACTTCTTCATCGTTCCATCACGTCCAAATATCAAATTAACATCATATTTGCCCCCTGACGTTGAGCTTGTTGGTAAATGATCATCCTCAACTGGCCAATGGCGGTCTTCAAATGTCAGCATAGAAGCACAATTTCCATAAATGTCGGCAAATTCTTTTATCGTTTGCAGTCCTTCAACATCCAAAACAGCTTCCATAAGCTTTTCATCTGGAGTCCATTCTTCAAGTTCTGATGCGAGATAATATGACTTGAATGCTGTGTCTTCGTCTGCTTCTTCTTCCTTGATTTTCTTACACAAGTAATAAATTTTCTTCAAGACAGTTGAAATATTTCGTTCCATGTTCTCAGATACATCCGTGATGTCTGGCAAGTTTGCTAAACGCCAAACAATTTTCTCAAAAAATCTCTAAGGAAGTAGAATCAAGTTGAAAGGATTTTAAAGGAACAGAAATTATTTTCTACAGACCTGATTGATGTTGTTGTAGACTAAAACCACACGAGATTTATCAAAAAGTTCGTCCGAAATTTTACTCAAATGTTGAAAATAATTTCCAATTAATTCATCGCTTCCTTCCAGCATGTGAACAGAATACATGTCATGTCCAATAAGCAAACCACCAAGTCGACCATCATCCATTGGATATTTATAAATTTCCTTGATTATCTTGTTGAATGGATCTTTAATCTTATGTGGCTCAATCACAGTTCTGTGACGTGCTAAGTAGATTATACGTTGGAAGTAGCTACGTCGTCCAAACACAAGCTGATTATCCCTTACATGACCTGCTAATGTTCTACGATTTATAAATGATGGAACTGAATATTGCTCATAAAGTTTATTAAGCTTATAATACGGAACATTTGCTGACGTCTCACGGCCTGACTTCATGTCTAGTTTTGATCAAAAATAGCTTTATTTTGTAGATCTGCTGACTAAGATTAATTTTAATAAAACAAAAATTATTTAAGGGTTGTTATGGAAACGTTGGTTGTCAAGCATTTTGAAGCTAGTAAGTAATGAAGGAATAGCAACAAGGATTGAATGTTGAATTCTTTAAAACTGATCATAACTTCACCCCTTGAAATATTCATTAACAGTGCCAATAATCTGTGTTTTTTGCGGCAGTAAACCTTTTAACATCCAATCTCCAATTTTTAACCTTCTGTCCTATAAAATTCAATTAATTCACATTTTATTATTTACCTTGCCGTGAGTTCATAAAATTAAATATTTTTTATAAATTGGTAAATAATGCTGTAGATGGGGGAATGTAGTATTAAAAAAGCTCACATTGCTTAGGGGCTGTTCACTTATTACGTAACGCGAAAAAATGACTTTTTAGACCCCCCCCCCCCCCTCGTAACAAAATTTGTATGAAAAAAAAATTTCCTTGTTTGAACCGTAACAAAATCTTAGACCCCCCTCCCCCCTAAAAGCGTTACGTAATAAGTGAATGGCCCCTTATTGGAAATTCGAATTTATGGGATTTAATTAGTAAATTTATGAACATAATTATCCTAAATCAAGCAGGAAGTTAAAAATAATTTTTTTGTGTCAATTAACCTTCTGCTTTTGGTGCCAATGAACTTAACAAATATTATTTTGACTTGTGATTCTGATTTAGCTAGATTTCCCCCTTTCATAATGGATCATGACATGTTCTTCACACATCAACATTACTGCCTGCCCTGATGTGTTTTATGCTAAAATTAATATTTTCTTGAATCAAATTTTCAAAATAATAAATTCAACATTTAAACCATATGCTGCACACAAATTTCGAACATGAAAACATTATATCGCTCTCTGTCACTGTTGCTCTCGGTATAATCCTTTGCAAATTGATATCAATGTTCATTGGTGTGTTAAAAAAATTTTTGGCAATAAAAAAAAGTGCTTAATTTGCATGAAATCTATAAAAACAATAAAAAGAGTGCAAATTGGCATTTTATTGCAATAATCAATTCATGGACATTTAACGGAAAATTAAATTGAATATAGGGGGAACTGAGTTGTTTTTTAGTGAATAGTCATCGACACAAATAAAAAATCAATTACCGTTTGATTGCTGCTGCTGCAGCAATATGTTTATGTGATAAGAGACAATTTTCAGGTGGGAGAAATGTTTTAAAAATTAGACAAAGGAAATGAATTTTTGAGAATTTTTAAAAAAGAACAAATTTTAAAATGGCTTTACTTTGAATTTTTGAAAAACGTTAAAATTTGAATTTTTGAAAACCCTTACAATTTGAATTTTTGACATCGGTTATTTTTTTGAAATTTTTATATTATATTTTTTTCTTTGAATACATGAATGTCTTCAATCATCTAGGGATCATAACTTATTTTCTTCCTGTTTTCTAAAGTATTTCCCCCACCAAGTCAAAAATATGTTTCATTCCAACAAAATTTCTGATGAGATAAATGAAATCAACAAAAGGGGAAAAGTCAAAAGATTATGAAGCATATGGAAGTGAGAAAGGGGAGAGAAACGTATATAAAAAGTGATGATTCGTGTAACATCTGTGTGATTCGATTTATCAAAACTATAAACATGAGTAGATCAGCACATTTTTGTGAATAAAATCTCGTTTATAATTTTTTGCTATATCATATCGCATTTATATGTGCTATTTACTTGCTGATTCTGCCTGTCTTCAATCTTTTTCATCCTCCTACAAATTTCCTTTGACCTCATCTCATCGTCTTCCATTCATACTTACTCATATGAGTAGACATATGCACACTAATAGTCGTAGAAAACTTGAATATAAACAGATGATTTGCAGAAAAAGAAAAAAAGAGTGGGGAAAAGTATGAGAGGAGTCACATAACTCTTGATTTATGACTTCACATTTGCAATATTAAAACATTTTCATTATTTTTGCACTTTTCAACTTCCTTCCATTTCCGATATTTTACATTTTTACTTCTTCTTCTTCTTCTTTTTGAGTTTGTTGGAAGTAAATGTTGCATAAACTTTAAATTTAAAGCACTAAAATTAAAATCAAATTTAGATAAATGAGGGAAATTCTAAGTCGACCATAAATTTCAATTAGCCATTTTGAGGATACAAACTTAATTTTTTCTGCAGTTTCTGAAATTAAATCTAGAAGAATAAATCTTGGAATAAATTATAAAGCGCATAGTTTTTGGGAAAAATGTTTTTTAAAATTTAAACTGACATTTCTATTTTAAATATTTTGAAACTCTATCCGTTAATTTTTGAAATTTTGAAATCCGTTGAAATTTGAATTTTTTCAAAGCATAATAAATTCTCAACCTGTCCAACCAAAGTGAAATACCAGACTACCACATCAAATCAGCCCATTCTAATTTCAATTGTCTATTAGGACAGTAAAAAAGCCAAAGAAAAATTGAAAAGAATTTCCATGTCCTTTGCACTAATGTGTATTTATTTAAGTTGAATAGTGCGGAAGAATTTGTTATGATCAAAAGAAACAAGCACCATTTCCCATTTCCATTTCCATTTCCATTTCTTTCCTTTTCTTTATTCCGACATAAATCTATTTTCTCGTCCTTCCCTTTTTATTATGACTGTGTCGAAAGAAAATGAAATGAAAATGTAATTTGATTTCATTTCCTTATTTGAAGGCAGGACCTTTCTCATCTTGAAATGAACCCCCAATGTTCATTTAAATAACACAAATTTGACCTCAAATATAAACGATAATAATGTCAGATTCATAGATTTTTAAATGCCACAAATTGGGCAATTGAGTCATTTGCATTCGTTTGTTATTTAAGAATTGGAACTTCTGAGTGTCATTGATACAGTAAAAAGGTAATTGGATATTTGGACGAACTGAAACGATGAGGAAGTGAGGAGAGAACATGACAAGGAGTGCCTATTAAAATAACGAATTTTAAAATTTCGAAACTTCATTTTTACGAACACTTCATTTTTACGATCATATCATTTTTACGAAAAATTATTTTTTCGACTTTCTTTATAAATTTTAAATTTTGAAATGTCGTTAATTTCATCACGTGTTCTCTTCAATAATAAATCTGCAAAAAAAGATTAATACTGGGGGTCCTCGATTTGAGTAGTTGTTTTGTTCCAAAAAATTTCTACTCAAATCGAATCTATTCAAATCGAGGCAAAGAATCCATACAAAATCACATGTTTTGTTCCAGAGTCCAAAAAATGTATCAAAACAATGAAAATTATGATAATTTTTTGCACATTTTACCTCGTTTCTTAACTTTACTTATGTGTTTTAGATAACTTAATTTATTTCGACGCATATTCATATTGTTTTTAAACAGAAATTCACAAGAAATGTTTTTGAAACAAAACAAAAATATGAGAACCTTGCAAATGTTATTTAACCGAACAATTTGTAGGGTTTTTGAATTTGAACTTTTTAAAACCGTTAATTTTATATCAATTTTTTTTAAATTTTTACTTTAATTTTGTAACTTTAGTATTGATTTTTCGATCAACATGATAAGTTCACGCTTATTGCAGAATAATTTATGTTTTAAAAATATTTTCTGAAATGTTTTTATCAAAAATATTTGTTTTGTAAACAATTCAAATCGAAGAAATCTACTCAAATCGAATATTTTGGTGAGTAAAAAATTTTCTGTTCAAATCGAATCTACTCAAATAGAATCTACTCAAATCGAGGACCCCCAGTAGAACAAATGTTTTTAAATGTATGGAATTAAAACGTATTTTTTTTCAATATCACATTTTATGGACTACAAGTGTATGTTAAAAGGAACAATAAACACAATTAAGCTCTTAAATCATTTTTGACTACTGCAATAGCCTTTAATGTTTCAATGGAAAGAATTTGTGTCAATCGAAATGGATATCGACAAATATTTGGCTGGAAAGCCACAAAAGTATAGAATGCCAGGTTTTTAAAAGACAGAGAATTCCATTAAATCAATCCTGAACCGTCGAAAATCCGTGCCACGAGTTGAAAGATTAAAGGCTATTTGATTGTAATTGTAACGAATAAAAAATACGTTTTAATTCCATACATTTAAAAACATTTGTTCTATTAATCTTTTTTTTGAAGATTTATTATTGAAGAGAACACGTGATGAAATTAACGACATTTTAGAATTTAAAATTTATAAAAAAGTCGAAAAAATAATTTTTCGTAAAAATGATATGGTCGTAAAAATGTGAGTTCGTAAAAATGAAGTTTCGAAATTTTAAAATTCGTTATTTTAATAGGCACTCCATGACAAGATAATTCAAATTGACATAAGTAAATTGGAATGTCAACAAAAACTGCAAAAATTCGCGTCTTTAGCGAGCAATTCATTCCTGCCTTTATGCTGTTTGTTTTTTGTTTTTTGTTTCCAGTATGATTCATAAATTAAATAGTCAAACATCAGAAGTTTCAGCATCATCATCACAACCATTATATTTTGTAGAGCAACAGTATAGAAGTTGAAGCCAAACCAAACAGTACATAGAAAAGGAATGAATGGATAGAGAGCATGCAAGAGAATGAAGAATTTTTAAATTTATGGCTGTGAAACGTGAAAAAATGTTAATGGAAAAGCATTTCCACTTATTTTCCTTCTCTTTCTATTCCAAAAAAATGTGTAGTTCTGTGCTGTTTTGTTATTACTTTCTTCATTTGGTTTTGCATATTCTAAGCACATATATGTTATGGAAACCAAGAACATTCATATGACTTTATAAAGTTTGAAGCTGAAAATTATTTGAGAGGAACTTGACGAATTCATTAAAGAAATTGAAACAAAAGCTTGGTAAGGATTTAAAATAAATGCAGCCAGGATCAGGACGAGCAGGAATTGGGGAAAAATCTCACCATAAATGGCAATTAAAGGAACAATGAACAAACAGAAAAGGGAGAAAAAAAAGTTTATTTTTATATGCTCTTTCTGTATGGACATACATACAATATTTATCACATAGTGTGTATTTAAATATCACATTGGGGATGATGATGATGATGATGGCACATAGCGTATTGAAATTTAACAACGGAACTACGATGGCGAGTAAATAAATGACATTTTTTATTGTTTTTCATAAATCCTCTTTCCCTCTTACTTGCCTGCCTGCTTGCTCTTGCTTTCATTGCCATTTCATTCAATGAGCACACACGAACTGCATTGA